GGCATCGATAGATTCCATGCTCCCAGCTAGATTCGCCCAAAACATATCTTCTGCTTTGAGTTCCATCCCTGCGGCAATTACTGCTTATTATTAGTAGTTTATCGCTTCGATTACCATTTGAGGGCACGAACTGATTGCAAGGTACGGAAAGAGAGCTGCGTTCCCGAAGAACCCCTTGAGAGGCGACTGCCAAACATGGCGGTGTGTATCCACAAATCCAGGGGAGATGACCTTATCAGTACAGTCTATGACAAGACATCCGGGGGGCGGAGGTATGCAGGCCTCTATCTTAGATATTCTGTCCCCTTCAATAAGGATATCAGCCAAATAGGGTAATACATTGTCCTTCTCGCCATGAACTAGAACGACTCCTCCTCTGAGGAGCTTTGAGGCTTTGTTGCGAGCAGCTGTGCCTCCTCTCGGAAACGAGGACATATTTAGACTATGGTTGTGTGGGTTGTTGAAAGGGATATTCGAGTAATAGGGCTATGAGCCGAAGTAGAAATGGATAGGAAGTTATGTAGATTAGGGATGTAAAATGAGATTGGGGACAGGCTTTATATATGAAATTTAGACCGTGTAACTGGCAAGAACGCGGAAGATGAGCAACTCGTGATTTCTGCCAAACTGAAAATATCGTCGGCGTTAAGAATATAAGGTCGCTTTTTCTACTGTCTCTGAAGCTTCCCTCCTCCCTCCCCCCACCCCCCCGGTCAGAGTGCTTGAAATACGCTCATGACACCATACAGGTAGCCCAAAACGCTTTCAATAAGATCCCGTAACATACTCACCACTGGAGACAATCCATTATGTAACATGTAAGTATTCATTTATCTACCAAAATTGTGTGGTGGCAACTCAGTGCAGCTTTGGATTCATAGAACCTTGTAAGAACTTCACCAAATAACTTCCCTTTTTGGAAAATGATACAGGGAGAATATTAACTTCTGTATATGTTAGCCTTCGGAGTAACTATGCATGACGGCCCGTGGGCAAGTTGTCCAGTGGCCTCTAAGCGACATCTAGATCCACTGCCAAATGTCTTTAAGTACGTGAAGAAACCATGGATATCTAAATTTGTTCCTGATCTAGCACTGAGAATGACTAATCATTGATCCACTCCAGACAACTTCTCTTCCTGGAAAGGATGAACTCTATTAAATCGACGAAAAGTCTATTATCGGATACTTTGCCCGCGAAGCATAGTGTCAGACGGCCTTGAAATACACCGACTGGATATCTTCATTGAGATACTAACAAAAGAATAGGCGAATCTTCTCTCTGCGTTGGACTCTTAACCATTTTACTCTTTTGGAAGTACAAAACTGGTATGAGCCTTGGAATTTTGTGCATTGGCTGGGCGCATTCACCTGTGGACGTTGGTTTCATGTGGGTCGATCGAACTTTTCCAAGCTAAGGAGACACTATTACATCACAGAAAAGGTACTCCAAGGCGTGCCACAGCGTTGAGCTCTTAACACAGCTTTGCCCTATCCTGGGTGTATGAATTACATAAATTATCGACATAGTTGAATGTCAATACTTCATCGCGGAACTTTAATTTCTATGTTTGAATTACTAATCGTTCCCTAAGAATCATAACTAGTTGGATTACTCTCAAGAACAGTAAGCCGACTCAATTCCCCACTCGGCATATGAAAAATTGCTTATAAATCATACAGCAATAAAGACTAACTGGAACCCGTGCGGTTTGAATCTCTTGCATTCAGAAGCAACAGAGAGTCAAATATAATACCGATGGTAGCCGATGCATAGCGACATTCTAATTGGTATCTGTCAAGACGGCTTCCTTTTTAGTATCCTAGGACCGACGTTGCTTCAATACAAAACAACAAGATACAGCTCTACCGTCGATACCGACCCACTCGAAAGAGCTTCTTAATCTAGATACAGTAAGCGCCGGAACCTTTCTTTCTGAGATTGTACCCGGACCTTCGACTAAATCACTTGGACTTACTTTAGAGGTACCGTTAAAGCAAGATCTACACTGGCACTTTCTATATTGTGATGCTCATTACATGTAACAAAACCCAGTCAACCTTGTCAAAGACACAAAAACCTGCTCCTTGCGAAAACAATGTACAATGACGATTTGTCCAAAGACTGACGCTATAAAACGAAAACTGTTCTTCGATACGTGGCGGTGAACCATACTATTTTCCTGCCGACAATAACGTCGCTGAGGAAGTCAAAGCAGCGACTTCTTCGACTCGGATACTCACCACCGCTTTTTCACTTGCTAGATCGGTGATCGCCAGTCGGCGCTCAATCTTGCTAAGCTTAGACAATATGTAAGCTGTCTGAAATTGAAACTTTTCCGTATAGTATCAGCTCTTGCGTGGAAACAAGTTTGAAAGAATATTCATATGCTAATGAGCCCAGTGAATACTTTCTGTTGCAGTCCAGAGGTAACATGAGGCTATATATGCAACGAGATGATCAAGTTGATTGAACTTCAGCTCGGTCCTTTATATATTTACTTCGGGAATAATTTCGATGATTCGGCTTGTGTTCTGATCTGCACCAGCCTCATATCACAACACATTCAGTTCCATATGCAGCGGCAGAAAGCTATTCTGAATTTCCAGTGTAGGGCAGTACGCTGCTTACTGTGAATATCTGGCTGGCCTAGTGAGTGGTACATGCTTCCAGATAATATGCCTCAAATTGTTGGGCTTTTTTTGGATTGGATTCTTGGCTATGTCCTGCTTATGACAACTCGAGGGGAAGTTGTATTGGGGTTGCCTCACGTGATATATATGCCGACATTACTGAGGGCTTTCTCTACAACTGCCTCACGAGAGTCAATTTCTTGCTTCTGTAGCTATCTCGTCACCACCCACGCAACCAAGGCTCGAATTTGTCCCTCCCCCTTTCCCTCTGTATATAGAAACCATTGCAAAACAGACACATTGCCTCCCTAACAGGGAGCGCGGACGGGGCCCTATCTGACGCTATGGTCTAAGACCGCAGCGACAGGTGACCCGTTACGGCCAAACTATTGTCTCCTTGTCCTCTTGACTGCATGAGGTCACCAATAAATGTGTATTTAGATCCAAACACATTTTTGTACATATCTTTGCCCGAAATATCTACTCCCTGTTTCCTAGCAACCACCCTGTGAAAGCCGTAAAATTTCTTGGGCCAATTCTGGTAGTAGAATTATTCTAGAAATAGAATTATTCACTGAATTATTTTTTAGTTGAGGTCGTAATGTTAAGGGGTCATTTGTTTTCTTTTCATTAGCTCGCCCCCAATAGCCCTCATCTTATAAAACAATAGAGAAAAATGTGTCAAATGAGGAATTGAGGGTACTGGCTGGTATTGAACATGGCCAACAGAATTAGATGATTGATCGAGGGCGTTCCAATCGATTGAACAATCTCAAGGGCCCCTATACTTGAACTATGGCGTGATATGACATGGTGGTATTCTATCAGTCCTTCATTTCGTCAAAATTTACTAAGCGTAACGACGTTGGCTTGATTTACGCCTTTCAAGCCCTATCCTTTGCGCCACTGCTAAACTGTGCCAATTCTATTGCAACTCAGAGGCATGAACTAACTGTTATATCATCCTACCCTTCTTCTTGGGCGGATAATCGCCACCTGATGACCAGAGCTGGACGCCGAATTTGAAAGCAATGCGTGCCTCTATATTGCAATGTTCACGGCCGGACTGGGACCACTTGAAGATTCCGCCCAATACAAACGAACCCCTCTCTCGAAACTAACCCACATCAACCACCTCGTGCCTCAGACCGTAGATGCGCTTCAATCGTTGGGGATATGATACTTAGCACTTGATGAAGCGCCTTCAAGCCAGGTTACTGAACAAAAACTTACCCACGAGGAACAGCTACGATATAGACAGCTGAGATGATATACGGAAAAGAATTATGCATGGGCTCATAAGGAGACTCGGCATGTACCAGGACAAGTATTGGTAAATCAGTGAGAATTGACCTCTCGGCTTAGCCGTCGGGCGTTGATTTATTGTGTGTGTCCGTAACCCAACAGTCGCGTCGTACAACACTCCACATTTGAAGTCTCTTGAACTAGAAAGTGCCAAGCTAGAGTAGAAGAAGCTTCGCATACGTCAAGAAGTAGGTCTCGTTGTTGTGATATGAGACTGGTGCAGATCAGGAACCAAAACCATCGGAATTAATCCCGAAGTAAGTATATAGAGAACCGAGTTGAAGTTCAATCAACTTGATCTTCTCGTTGTATATATTGCCTCATGTTACCTGTGAATGATTAAAAAAATAACAATTCATACCTCTGAACTACAACACGCGTCTGAAAAGTATGGGAATGTGCCATTTGGTGACCCTGCGTGATGCGTGCTATTATTGCCTTGTTGGCTCTTTAAGCACACCGGAAAGGCCCACATCACACAACTTCTTCAATCCGGAATGGGCCAGGTCACATGCCGGGTAGATGAGAGTTTCCGGGTGGCGGTGGGACGCCAAACCTCTGTGAGTGGATTGTGGTCTTGGCACGGCTGCATGTTAGAAATCCCGCCACCAGCAAAGCCCGAGAGGAGTTTAAGCCAATCCCATTTCAGTAACTCAGCGAAATATTTCAATCAACGAAGGTTAGCTCTCTCACTGTAGCGCAGAATGAGAGTGGAATGTGGATTACAAATCGCGCCTGTGTCATTGCTCTTTCGTGCAATCGTCAGATGGGTAGACGTGGGCTGACAAATGACTAGAATCGGATCGGCGCAATGTATGCTTCGAGATCAAAAACCTTCTCAAGGTTTGAAAGAATTAGCTAATTCGTTACTGGCCCAGACCCATCGATGGCCCTCCCCGATTCACAGAGACGTGGTGATTCATCGACAGCGAAAACCTATATAAGTAACCTGTTGTGTCCCTCATTAGAACATGACATACTTAATCATCAGCTTACTTTTCAATTGGACGGAAGAGCACGCCAGAGGCTTATCGATATATCACGACCGTGAAATTCTACTCCATGTCGGACAATATAGTCTTGGTAATTGGGGGCACTGGTGCCCAGGGAAGACCCGTTGTCAAAGGTTCTCCAATCCTTTCCAAGAATCCTGGAAAATAGCTAACGAGACACATAGCATTGGCATCAGGTAACAAATATACAGTTCGCGTCCTTACCAGAAATGCTTCTTCGAAAGAAGCGACTGAGCTGGCAGCAATTCCTGGAGTGATAATCTTTGAGGGAGAGACCTACCACGAACCCACCCTTCGGAAGGCCTTAAGAGACGTGTCTTACGTCTTCGCCAATACAAATGGCTTGGCCATTGGTGAAAAGGCTGAGATATACTGGGGCATTCGCCTTTACGAGCTAGCTCGTGAATTCCGGGTAAAGCATTTTCTTTACGCCGGTCTTGAGTATGCTTCCAAGCTCGGGAACTTCGACCCTAAATATCGAACCGGTAATCTAGACGGCAAAGGGAAAGTGGTCGATTTTATTTCTCATCAACCAACTGCTCCAATGGCGTGGTCTATTCTGACATCTTGCCCATACATGGAAGGTCTCTCTGAGTTCATGCGGCCTTTACCAGACCCACATGATCCGGGCACGATGGTCTTCACGGCGCCTCTAGGAAATGGAAAGTGTCCGTTAATCTATCTTGAGGACTATGGCCAGTATTCCCGATGGATGTTTGACAATCTTACGAAGAGCAGAGGTCTAGAACTACACGTCGGCACAGAGGATATTGCGTGGAAGGACCTCGCAGCAGTCTTCACAACAGTGACGGGCATCAACGCAGCCTACAAGGACGTCACTTTGGACGAATACTTTCAGCTTGGCATTTGGCCGGATGCAAATGCCATACTCGGTTACTCTGCCGGTTATGATGATGGTTCTTTCATGACCGTTCGGGAGAACTTTTCTGGGTTCTGGAACACCTGGAAAGATAATCTGACGAAGAGGGATTATCAGCTGTTGGATGAGATTCTGCCAACCAGAGTGAAGAGCGTTAAGGAATGGATGGTGAAAACAGGATACAGGGGGAACTACGCATCTGTTTTAAAAAGCCGCCGTGGTGTGATTGAAAAAAGAAGTATGATCTTGTACTTAACTCTTGCGTTTGGTTATTTAATAAAATCGTCCATTTCGGCCCCGAATCTGTGGTTCCTAGTCCCCAACATATATGTTTCCTTAGGTCGGATGGTTTACAGGAGACTATGGTGCGGTCCCTGAGAGCCAGAATGTCTACTGTGACCAAAAGAAATCAGCTCTCGCATTCCTAGGGATATAGCAGAGGCCCTCGGAAACTCAGTATCGGTTCTGGGAGCAAGCAATGTCTCTAGGGATCACACGAACTTCACATGGTCGACAAACGCACTTAACGTCCGCGCGTGAAGGCCAAAAAATATACTCTTAGTGCGTAGGTTTGTCGCTTCGTGCATGGCCGAGGAAATCCAGGGTGTAAGGCTCATGGCCCTATTCGAGAAATTTGGTCATAATCTACATATGGGAAAATTTTAGTACTTCTCGCAGTTTAGCGTGCGATCACTGTTTCCCACTCATCTGAAACAAAACGGAGTAACGCACCCTTCTCTACGTAGCTCCAGCTCCGACTTTCGTGCCAAAATAATGGGCCTCTTGGGCCAACATCTCCTGCGGCTATCGGCGGCAGTTGGCCTTGAATAAATGAACCTCCTCTTGCGCCACAGACAAAAAACGGAGACATCTAGTCACGTCTTTGGCTTAACACTATTCTGTGTTATCTGACAAGGCATTGGCATTTTTTTTCTTGACTATCTTCACAGATCTATCACGACTTTCCCAGTTAGATGACCACCTTGCAACCTAGCGCAACCCTCTATTAAATTTTCTGGGATGTACTCACTACCCACGGTCACCTTGTATGTTCGCCTCTCTTGAGTAGCTCAGAAACATCTCTCGATTGTTGCCCATCAGTTTCCACGATGAAGAAGACCATCAACTTCCTTCTCAACGCCACGGTGGTCTTTTGTCGTGTTGCAACATAACAACTGTGAGGAGGAGGCCATGTTTCTTGACACATATCCATAAGAGTTCGTTTTATAGTATGATTTGCTGTATCTCTTCCTGATGTTGCAAGATCATCACGCACGAAAAGGGCTTACCAGGCAGTTGAAGGCGATAAAGGGGCGGTGGCGGCCTGAGACCGGCGGTACTCTTTGGCTAGTATCCACACTCGCGAGTCGACGTAAGGGAGTAGTGACGGGAATTTTCTTGACGGTCAAGGAATGTCCTGGAGTAAACCTCGGAGAGAGGCGAATGGAGATCCCGCCAGAGCGGAGGATTTCACAGATCCTGAAACCCCACAGCGACCGATTTTAGGTGAACATGAAGCAGGCTCAGGCCACCTCAGTTCTCTATTAGTTAAGCAACCGCCCTACCAAAGATAAGGTGCTCTTCGAAGCAATTGGAATTCGTTGGAATTCGTCACCGACAAGGTCTCTACGCGTAGATAATCAGCTTCAGTGTAATAGATTAGTGCAAATACTCTGCTCGGTATTTTGTTCTGGCGAGACATGACGATTGGAAGACAAATTGTGGGATAACGCGGTATATTTAGCAGGAGCAGTGTGAGAAATACAGTGAGAGTAATGAGGATTCCTGGCGTTTATGCGCAAAGTGTTCATTGAGTATTAAGTTTGGTCCGGATTCGTACGGCTTTATCCTCTATCCCGGGCTTGCCATAGTCATCCTTACTAAATCAATCGCGAAGTTCTCCCCACTTCTTCAGGCTCTTTTTGTCATGGTTTTTCATTATTTGGCATGATTTATCACGATGTGCTGTGCCTTGTGCACTTGTAGAGCAATCCAAGATAGCATACGCTAGTACTCCACTCAGGCGAGTAGGCAACAAGACGAGATCAAGTGGAATAAATCCTAAGGCTTAAGTACCAATTTTTTCTGTTTCCATTATCACTCGTCACATTCTGAGCTTGTGAGAAGTAGTCTATTAGTCTTTGATTGAGAATTGAGATGTGCATCGGTCATTGTCCAAATCAAAGGAAAGTATTTGTTGTTCTCCTTTACTTAAAGTAACACTAGTCATCCATGCCAGAAATGTAAATATAAAGGTCTCCTTTTCCTCTCTTTTCCTCTCTTTAAGCAAACTTTTCCGTCTATAAAACACAAGCTTGTGATGTTTACATCTGCTAGAAACAGAATATTTGAATGAAGAGCCGGGAGGTGAGTTTCAGTTTTCCTGCACTGCTAGCGACGTACTAAATTGCGAAATCTCTCTATATTTGAGAGTAGCTGTTAAACATTCCCAATGTAAGGTGTGCCTGAGGTTACTCGTACGGCGCCATAAGCTTATTTCCAAGCACCCTGGCAGAAGCCCCCTCTCCCAAGACAGTAGTATGGCACCATGGCTTCAACTCGGTCTCTTTGCGAAGAGTAGCGGCAAAGCAGCGGCTCCAGCCCCGTCGTGGGAAATGCCGGGAGATATCTTCAATGGTCAATGAATGGACAAGTTCGGTATGGGCACCAACGTTGTCTACTGCTCGTTAGTTTTTATACGAAACAAAAGGAAGCTTAATACCACCAGCTCGGAATCTTATCAACCTACCCAGGTGGTGGCGAGCTGTAGCAATTGCCCGACGGCCGTGATCTTTCCTTCATCGCGAAAGTCCTGATGCCGAATTATAGCTTCAGCAACACTCTCTGCAAGGTCAGGAGCGGCGGTCGCCTCTGGTGCCGATGTATTCGAGGTCTCTTGTAAGACGTTCAATGCTAGTAAGCCGCCATAGAATTCAAAACTTAATTTTGTTTTGGTTATGTTTTCTTCCGTAGAACCGATATCATGTAGTAGACATGTAAGGAAGTAGGCCTCATCTGTGAATTCCCAAGAAGGAAATAGGTGCTTCTTTATGGCAAACCCATAATGGTAAACACGAAGAGAGTGGTTGTATGTGGGTACCGGGAGGTTAGATTGCGCGTATCTCTTGATACGCTCAGAGAGTGCTGTGTCCGGGACTGGAATCTCTGAGACTGGAATAAAAGGCGCAGCAGTCGAGGTCGTAGTTGAGAGCAGTAAAGATGCGGATGCAGGGACAGCGGTAAACCCATAAACTGACACGGAGTCAAGGGTAATGTCAGTCGGTGCAGAAGCAGGAGCCATTTCGGTCGATCCAAATATAGAAGTAATCCCACTAGTTATAAATGAATGGTGTTCATACCAGTCAAGATCACCGGCAACATTGCGGTTTTTATTTGTCTACACAGTAGTATAACAAAATTAAATTAACTGGGCCTAGATTCCGATGCTGACAAAAGCTTAATCTTAATAGAGGCCACAGCATGATCATCCCAAGGGCATCTTTCGTTAATGGCTTGTGGTGGCAACACTTGGAGAACGTTCCAGTGATGCGCTCAACCTTGTGTAGACGGGCCCCACCGCGGACAACTGCCATTCTCGGACAGCCCATGTGATCGCGTAAAGGCTAGTTCTGTAGCCATTGTTTAATTACATCGATGACTCACTCCACCAATTGGTAGAAGATTTCCCGCCACGGAATACGACAAGATTACAGTGCCGGGCTAGGCAAAGATTGCTAACGTCCTTCCAAGGTAATCTTGTTATGCACATAGTAATGGACACATAGCCGCCTGATGTCTGTGCGATCGACTTTTTAAAAAGCGCATGTTGTCTAATTGGCAACCAGAAATGTTTACGATATTTCAGCTTCGTACGATCTACATTTGCTCGCGACGCAGCGTGACGGAGCTTTTACGGACTATCGTGGAAGCGATGATCTACCCCTGCCTACAGGTCACGCTATGTCGATTCAAAGTAAAGCTGAGATGTCTTAACATTCAACTTTACTCTTGAACTTTCAGGTAGCCCGTCATTCCTTCGCTGCGGTTGAGAATCTGTCTGCCAATCCCAATTCGTGGTATAGCATCACCAGATTTCAATCCACTCAACCAGCTTTTTGCAGGACGCCTGGCCGGGAATTTGACAACTAAATGAATACACGATACGACAGGAACTCATTATTACGATCGCTTTCCCTCGCTCACTCGATAGGACTGAGAAGAGTGAAGGGTGAGTTGCGGTGGATGAGCTGCATAGGTAGGAATATAGACGCAGCAAACTTTCTGCCCCCCTTGGTCGGGACTTGTTCTTAAGCATTACGACAGTCTACATGAACAGCCATGAGGAATACTCGGGACAATACCACCAGAAACCTTACGAGGAAATTGACTTTGTGATCACGCTCGCTTCCGGCGCTGAGTTGATAGGATGCCAGGTTGGCAAAGGGCTACCTCGGATTTGTTTCAAATTATCCAATGAGGATCTGCCCTACCATAAAAAGTCCACACTGAAGCCCGACTACGGGTGTGATCCTTAGGGTATAAATCACCCAAGTCGAGTGTTGTCGCTTCAAAATATGCCTTGGATTATTTCGACAGTGTCAATGAGCTGCGCACGAACGTACCCTCATCTTCTTGAAACATGAACGCCCTAATTCAAGAAGTGCAACAAGACCGAGAATTTGTTCATAATGGCTGCCACAAAACTCAGCGGCTTGATCCTCATCATCCAACGGAAACTAAATGAGAAGCCAGGCGCGACTTGAGGAACCGATACCAAACATCCAATTTGTCCAGTTTGCGTGGTCTTTCTGCTGCCAGTAGTTCTGAAGAATAATGGCGGCATTGATTACATTCACACAATGTGTTTCCAACCAGAACTCCTCCAAACATTCACTGAGAAATGCCCTCTGGCTTTCTGAGCTGCACTCTAGGCCCGCAATAAAAATCGGCCAGAGAGCGCACTTAAAAAGGTCAAGATCGCTGCGCAGAGAACCAAGAGTACGAAGTAGATCGTCGATCAGATCAACGTTCAACGGACGTGTCTCTTGCATAAGAGTACGTAGCAATCGCTGACCATAAATGAGAGAACTGATTCTGTAAGCTTCCGACAAAGTGCATATGGCGTTTTCGCACGAAAGGAAGGCCCTCCGGCTGCGAGAGACTTATTGCCCAGTGACGTGAATCGAAGTTTTGAATGAGTTCCAATGTTGAAGTGATATAGCTTTTGTGGGCCTGCACGGAGGCTGCTTCGAAAGACTCTAGTCTGCAGATGATATCTCTTTCAGCGGATAGAAACCCAATTCCCTGAGCCAAAACCACTGGACAACCAACAAATACTTGGCCTAGGGTCTTCTCTGCCTTTTCAGCACAATAAAATAGATTACTCTTTGGGCCCGGCTTGATCCATATCTCGAAAAGGTTGCCCCTAGAACCTCAATCCTTGAATCGATTAACCAGTGAGTTTGGAGCGCGAATCTGAATAGAAGAGCTCACATATGAATTTGCTTCAAGATGTATTCCATCACCCCGGTCACAATTTTGTCGCTATCTGCTGCCTCTGTGTCTAAGAGGGCACGATTGGAGGCGATGAGGGTTTTCGCACCCTCCAAATGAGTCTCCCAGCTGTCGTTCCCAGATTCGAAGAGGTCAAGAATAATCAAAAGAAAAATGCTGGCCAAGGTGATGTTGACATCGGACCGATCTGGATTCTGCAGAGAGAAAGATAGTTCCTCTATGGCTTGATGTTTGAAAAGAAACGCGGTATGGTTCGCGCGGTGAAAGCCGGGGATATTTCCACCTGCGGGAGTGGAGAAAGCCCGAAAAGTATTCGCAAAGTGACGAGCGGCGAGAGCGAGCATTGCCTTTTGCAGCAAGCTATGTTGTAAACACAAAGGGACGAGCTTCCTGAATGGATTTTCCGGGCTGTCACGTATCATGAGTAGCTTGCAAATACGTTCATGATCTGATGAATGCGTCAGCGTCTTCTACTCTTGTTAATTTTCCCCTCTCTTCTGTCTCAGCTACGACCCACAATAAACGATGTAGCCCTGGCTTGTAGGATTCAAGTCTTTGAGAATCGGATCTTGCATTTCATTTGGCAGGCTTATTAGGCCGTCTGTATGACTTTTTATATTGCCAATTGATGGGTTAAAGGACGCTGACGATGGTTGAACGTCAAACAAAGCACGAAAACCGCAAGAGCGAGAAACCTTACCAACGAATTTGGGGCATTGAGGCCTAATAGAGATAGTCGCCGGCGACCCACCGAATGACCGGCCCTGCATCTTGCCGCGGATGGCTACACCTTGAACCCACCGAATCGGTCTCTTGTCGAGACAGTCCAACCCGGCATTCTGGCACTTTAAACAGGGGATACCGCACTTATCGCACTGGACGCGGCGTCTGCGGCATGTCCAACATTCCTCGTGGGCGGCGTGTTCCATCGGAATTGCTCATAAAATCTATGATCCGGAATGAAGTAAGAGTCAGCAATTTGTTTCCGGGAAGTTGCCAAAAGGATCGTGTGAGTGCCGGGAATTCTAGACCTTGCCAAACGCGGGTTCGGGGCGGTTTTTATTTTTCCTACCCGCCCCAACGCGAGTTTTGCACTCCGCAACCCCGCCCGCGGGCTTGTGGAAAACCTTCACGGGTATCCAAACTACCCGTGAATGGATAATGGATACCCGTGAATATACACAATTGATACGTAATATATGATTAGTCATTCGACGTATTCCTAGTGATTTGTTTTGATATAGGTTTCATATTGACAATACGGTCTATCATGGGCATAACCTCTTGCGACCCGAAATATCTAACGTTCATGGACGGCAGGTATTTCTGATTTTGGACCGGTTGTCTCACCCACCCGGTACCAACTAATGCTATATCTGGATGCCTCGAAATTAAATGTGTACTCAGGAACAGCATTGATGAATACTGCCGAGACCATGAATTAGCTAATTCAGAATCACATTCTTCGAATCCACCATGGCTCCGATGAAGGCCAAAAACCTGACTATCCATAGAGTCTTTTCGTGTGCAGGAAGCTTTTGGAACACATTGAACGATCGGCCCGGAAACCGGGAAAGAAAACGGCACTCTGGAAAGAGACATATACGGTGCCATGCTCGTGGCAAAGCGAGAACCGAGGGCCTATTACGAGAAGACGTATCGTGATCACGGGTTTCTCTACAACACGGCGGCTTTACTTGCTCCTCGAATATGAAGAGGCCGATCGATATCTCCATGAGTGTAAGTATACCTGGCTCAAACTCGGGAAACCAGCCATTATGGCCGTGGCTCCCTAAATGACACTACCTTACAACGGCGTCTTGCTCAGTTTTGCTCAGGGAGCGAGGGGTGAGCACTCAACGAAAAGAGCAAGTCACGGGATGTCTCACATAATCCTGTGTGTATGCATTTCATAGTCTCTCCTAATGCCGAGAGACTGGGTCAGATAGCTAGGATGATCGATACAGGCTCTGTTAACGCATTTGGTGGTCAGGCCCTTGACTTTCGAAGAGACGGGCGGAACAGGCTTAGATGCATGCTCGAAATCGCAACCGGGGATAAAGGTCGCGATTGATTTTGTTGGAATATAGAGCCGTTATCTTGAAAGCTTTCCAGAATACTCTATTCGAAAAGAACCATGCAATTTTGACACTTCCAAGTCATTGGATCCGTTCATGATATTGAATAATACTACATACTAATTCTTTAGTTATCGTTACGCCATGGAAACGATGAAGGGTTACTCATGTCACACAGAATGTTTTGGTTAAGGTACCCAAAGTCGTACCACCCGCGCAGGTCGTCGATAGACCCCAGGTAAGGAAGCATGTCCAGATTTTCACTCAATGTATCAGCCTCCGATCTCATACGTCTCTGACCTTCGCCTCTGGAAAGAGGGGTACTTTGCTGGATTTTTCACTGACGCTTGGTACTTTGGATAGCAATCCCAAAACATGATGGGCGATTGTCTGAATCTCTCTCACATTTCTCGCCGCTCTCGGCCATACTTCGCCTAGTTCTTTGAGGCATCCAATTGTCATTCGGATCTGATTTCTGGCGATCATCATATCCTTCCCTTCCAACAGGAAGTTGCAAGCCGACAACAACGCAAGCGTGCCTTCGCTAGTCATGCAAGTGACGAAGGGCGTGTGGTGGAACTGCCGGGCCGGCAACGCTAGGAGACGTATCTGGGCCTCGACTGAGCGTAAAACGCACACAGCGTGAACGTTGATGAGATCTGTTCTAGGATTATCTGGTGGTGGCTCTCGAGCACAGCTTGAGACGTCCTCCACGGGGTTAAATCTGAGGTTCGAGAATGGTCGGTGCAAGCAGATTGCGGTTCTGCGATTGTTAGAATCGCCCCTTTTTTGCAGCCCTTGGAGAAATATCACGAAGACACTTACACATGAATAAGCAAATTGGCTTGGAATAGGAGCTCATTGACCTCCCCTGTTTTGCTCATGACTTGCTTGCGGCTTTCCGGCAATAAAAGCAGCCACCCGTTCAAGATCGAGTCAGCAGTTTGAATTACAAGCATCGAGTCTTCCTTCATCGCAATCTTTGGGGCCATGGATACTGCGAATGCTGTACATCTTACAGCGCCAATGAGATATGCAAAGGATGAAAACTCAAAATTATCCGGAGCGAATTCCCGATTTTCCCAATCTTGTATGGTTTTTGGCTCTGGAATATCCTGGATAAAGTCAGCTAGTTAACTGGAAATGGCCTTAAAGTCCTATTTGTTATACATACGCCTGACTCGTATTCTTTCTCTTCGCAAGGCAAGCCCACGGTAGATTCTATATCTACCACCTGAAAATTCGTGGTTCCTTGAGTTCCCGCATAGTAAGCATCCAGAATGTACAGGGTCCACCATGTTCTCCTCCAGCACTCTTGTAAGATGAGGTCTTCGGCTCCTTGGGTCGTGGAGAATTCTTGGCAATTCATCTGCAAGTCAATGGCTAAGCGAGTCGCCTGGTCCATTTGCCTCCTGGCTTCGGCTTTGTAGTCATACCAAAATAGAGCAACTGAATATAGAAGGCGACACTGGACCATGATTGGGTCCGTTGATGATACTTGAGAGAAGCAGGACTCGGCATAGTCCTTCAGCAAGTCTGACCATCGTCGCGCACTATAGATATACCCAACCAGGCGAATAATAGCTATCAGCGGCATAAGAGTATCTTGCTTGCTCTGGTCCTGATATAGTCTCATCAGGTGGTTTTGTGGAGGCAGGAATGGGTGGAATGTATGGAAATTCCTGAAATAGGAATTGATCAGGACATCATTCGAAAGACTGCAAGGCGAAACCTGAGTGGCCAGTGGCGACGATGTGCCGGATGTTGCATCCCCAGTCCTGAACCCGTCGAGCAGACGATGGCCATTGGACGTGCCCGCCTCAGGGAATTGAGACAATCCTACTCCTTGGGCTAGCTGAAGATCTATCGGGTACTGCGGACTAAATTCTTCGATCTCCGTAGTATTGGCTGCAGCGGCTATTCGTTTGCGCCGCTCTGCGAGGGCGGCACGATCTAGCCCACCACGGCGCGATGGAGCATACTGGCACTGCTTGCCCACTTCAGTACAGCGACTGCAGCACGGTCGCTTCCCGTCGCATTTCAAGTGCCGCGAGCGACAATCTAGACACGCAAGAGACGAACGTGTTGCTCTGCCATTAAGTCTTGGCGTTTTTGGATCCATGAGGGTGAAGTAAAAGGAGATACGTGAGATCTCGTCAACGAAGACGGGTAACAGTTGAAGCGCGGGCACTCGGGGTATCCGTGGATCCGCTGGGAACCCTTATTGCTGCTATCTATGGGACCCCGGAACGCCAGATAATATCGGGAGAATAGCTGGCTAGATAGCCGATTTTCTCACGAGCGACCTATAAAATGGATCAGAAAGACCTAGATGATATTCCTCACACATTGTCCCTAAAATACCGCTTGGTTACTATTGACTCAACACATCATCTATTACCACCCTCTTGCCGACTCCAAGTTTCGAATATAATGACGAAGAAAATCGTCATTATCGGTGCTGGGTTCGCTGGTGTCTGGAGTGCCCTGTCGGCCAAGCGTCTGCTCGACCTTCGAAGCCAAAATCAAGGCATTGAAATCTTGGTCATTGCTCCTGAGCCCTCCTTGGTCATTCGTCCGCGACTCTATGAGGCAAACGCTTCCGACATGACCCATCCTCTTGGAGCTCTCTTTGAAGGAGCAAGAATTGAATTTCTTCAAGGCATGGTGAGATCTATCAATTACAATGCGCAAACTCTGGACGTCCGGTCCGCTTCAGGCGCCGAATCGACTACCAGCTACGACCGCCTCATTCTAGCAGCTGGAAGCGCCGTTATCCGGCCAAAGAGTATCCCGGAATCCAGCAACACACATTTGACATTGATTCGCTGGAATCTGCAACGAAACTCGAAACTCATCTGCGGGATCTCGCTTCCCTTCCACCAAGCCCGGGTCGCAATACCATCGTGGTGTGCGGTGGTGGTTTCACGGGCATTGAGCTAGCAACCGAACTACCCAAGCGTCTTGGCCATATCAGTGATTATCGCGTCGTTCTGGTTGAAAACACAGACCAAATCGGCCTGGCGCTTGGACCGGGACCCCGCCCTGTCATTACTCAGGCCTTAGAAGACCTCGGAATAGAGGTCAAGGCTGGGTCTCCCGTTGCGAAATTGACCCCGATGGCGTTTCTCTTGCTTCTGGTGAGCGTATTGAGACAAAAACAGCTATTTGGACTGCCGGGGTAAGAGCAACACCCCTGACGCAGCAGTTTCCCGCTCCTAAAGATGAGCTGTCTCGCCTCCATGTCGACCAGTATCTTCGAATTCCTACAATCGAGAATGCCTTCGCCACGGGAGATGCTGCGTCTGCTCTTGCCGATACCAAAGGACATTATGCCCTTATGTCCTGCCAGCATGCTCTGCAACTGGGTCGCGTGTCGGGCCATAATGCGGCTGCGGACCTTCTGGGCGAACCGATGATCGAGTACTCCCAAGCCGCCTATAATTGCTGTCTGGACCTTGGCTCCTGGGGTGCTGTGATCTCTGCCGGTTGGGATAGGAAGGTCAAGCATACTGGAGATGTAGCAAAGCGAGTGAAATGTTATATCAACCAGCAATTGATCTATCCTCCCCACGATTCTCAGGAAGCGCTTACTTTGGCGAACCCTAATTGGCCCGACTCTGATCAACTATTCGAACAAATGCTGCAAGCTGTGGGTTAGAATTGCATGGCATAATACAACACAAGAGTACTGAGCGGTGAGGTGGGTAGATTCATTGACTACGTCGAGAGACATCTTCCATCTTCATCTTTGTTTTTCGGGCTGCTATTCGTGTATCTATTCTAGCATTTTAGTATATTTGAAGATTTTCGTACCGTATCTTCAAATCCAGAATCTCCAGACATAGTTGTGTTTCAGAGCGATGAATTGTATTGCTATTCAGAAGGAAATATTACGTTGTCTATATAAAAGAAGGACATGTTGATTTCCAAGCAACTTACTTCTTCGTATAGATACCTCGGGATTAATTCCGTTGGTTCGGTGTGATTTCTGATCTCTCCCAGCCTCATGAAACCAAAAAATGCTTCTTACTGTAGACCCAGAAACCAAAGTCTTTCAGAGCCAGCCATGGTCAATGCTTATGATCTGCCTCTCAAAGCGCTAGCAGATCGATTCTTTCAGATCTTTGTTAATAAAGTCCAGATATCCTTGCCATTCATTCAACAAGACCTCTTTGTGGAGCAATATGAGCGCTTTTATTATGGGAGTTTTCGAAATCCCGGGGATAAATGGTTGGCAATCTTCAATCTGATCATGGCCATTAGTTGCGCGTTTTGTCGGCTTTCTTCGCAATACACGCAGCAGGTGGCCGACGAAACACTCTTTTCTGCAAGAGCTAAATTGCTCAACGTATCTGACACTATTCTATATGATCATGACGATTTGCAGCAAGTGCAAATCGAGGCCCTGATTGCGTTTTTCTTATTGATTGTCTCGCAGGTGAACAGGTATGATATCACCTTCGATCCTTGGCGGCGTTCTTCTGATTCCCCGACATGTATATGTCAGAATTAATTTCTTCTTAGGTCGTGGAAAATCATTGGTATTGCCGCACGTTCGGGTGTCGCATTGGAAATGAATCTTAAAAAAAAACGACACACTTGACGTAAAGTCCCGCGAAGCTCAGACAAACTTATGGTGGTAGGTTGTTCGCTTAGAGCATCTTCTCTCTGTCATGACTGGGCGAATTTCTTGCCTTCGAGATGCTTCTAGCTCTGCGCCTCCGCCGACTCCCCTGTCGGCCTTTTCTCATGCAGGCCTCTGTACCCTCGACCCAATCAATGAGCCATCATTGCATATGCAGGACCTACAATGGGCGATAAAATTAAACAAAGAGCAGATGGAGTCTCAACGGAACTTTCTGAAGTCCATCGTGCCCAGTCCATCGCTCTACTTTTTCTACATAGCTGACCTGTCATTGATCGTCCATGCTATTACTAATAAGGTATATGCGACCGACATTTCTCGCACAGGATAGGGTCGCGTCGAAAGCCGTATATCTTTCTACAGCAAGAAAATGGATTGGTGGGCGACAAGTTTACATCCTTCGCTCAGCTTCGGAGATAGTGACCTAAATCACTTGCCAGAAAGTAAATCTTCTTTCCAGATCTCTCTCGCGTTGCACTATTACAGCACCCGGATTATACTTAACCGACCCTGTCTTGACCGGCCAGCTTTTGACAAGAATAGCGGCATACGGCTCGCGCGGTCACGTTTTAGCAATAATTCTGCCTTGGCATATCTCCAAGCTTTTTTAGCTGTCTTGATGCTGTTACCTGACGAGCCGGATCTGAATTGATGTTATGAAGATGTACAATGGTGGGATTTGTTACATATCCTCACCCAGGCGACTGTTGTTCTTTTACTAGACATTTCGATCGGCCCAGCACCCACAAGACCGGAGGAAGTTGCAGTCCCTGTTGAATCAACCAAGGTTGTTGTGACCAATTTGAAAAAGGGACTTTCCTGGCTGCATTGCTTAGGAAATACTTCAGAGGCAGCTCGACGTGCTTTCAAGTTTTGCCACAGCTGTATTCACCGAATGGCCGCTACGAAAGGCCTCGATCTGAATGGTGTACCCTCACCAGTTAGCCTTGATGGATCATCGAAAGATACGTCACAAGCAGATATGGAGGGTACTCAGCATGAAAACCAACCAGTTTCTTATCTACAAAATCCCAGGCCAGGAAATTACCCTTATTTTTCTAACGGCGAGGAAAGCAGCGGCATACTCTTCCAAGACCTGCAAAGTAACCAGGGCCCTATTTATGGCCCACGCACCGCGTTGGCAGTCGATGATTCTGATTACGGTATGTCAGAATTCTTGCCACACATGACCGACACCGATGGAGATATTGAAGAAGCACTGCTTCATATGATGGGATATTTTCAATGATTATCTTGCCTAGGAATATACTTCATTTTTATCCAGGAATATACTTCATTTGTATCCAGAATTACGCATCAGCGAACCTCCTATGCATCTCCATAATCAACAAGATCATATAGACAGCCTGTATCCCATGGCAGTAACATATACAGAGCAAAGCCGCTGGAAGAAGGCAAATTAGCTCAATATATACTTCCTATAGATTCACAAGAATAAATTAGAGTGAAGCAAACTAACACGCTAACTACGGAGACACAGAAACCATACCAACATCCGGTGGGTCCTGACCAGCGAAGATAATCAACTGTTGGACCTGGCCAAAGAGCAGGCCAGGGCCGCAACATAAGAGGATACCACCCCCAAGTACAGGTACCCGGAATAGTCAACGACACTAAATATCGCACGATCCCAAGCAGCCGCCAGCAAAGGCTAGCCAGAGAACGTTGTAACGAAATAGGTCATTTCCATTGTTGCTGATGCCTTGCGCGGAATGCATCGGCTTAGGCATCCAAGCCTTCACCTTCTGTCTCAGCTTCCTCTTCTACTTTCTCCTCAAGCTATTGATTTCGTCAAACCGCTACTAATTTCTTTGCCCGATATCACTACATCGTATCCTGATCTCTGTGAGTATCTCAGAACCGTCACAAACGTAGGGAGACACGCGAAGCGGGTGGATGCAGCTCTTCTAGGAAAACACACCCGGTAGCTGTGTGATCGATTATCGTGGAAAGAAGCGAGCGTGTTGGCCCAACTCCGGACTGGCATGGCTAGATTGAAGGAATATCTCCATCGAATCAACGTCACGAAGACGGACCAGTGTGCATGTAAACAGGCCAGAGAGACTGTTGAGCTTTTCCTCTTTCGATTTCGGAAGTGGACCGCATACCGTACGGAAATACTACAATGTACCCATCCCCACCGCGGCAAAAGATTCTTCTTCCTGGGCGGAGAATCGCCGTCCGATGATCAGAACTGGACGACGAACTTGGAAGCAGTGCGAGCCTTAATACGGTTTGCAATCGTCAAAGGCCGACTCGACGCCGCTTAGCTATGTCGACGAATACAACCCCCCTCCCACCTCTAAACTAACCTACATCAACCACCTCATACTGGAACAGGAGATGCGCTTCAACTGCCGAGAATAGTATGTTGAACACTCGAAGAAGCGCCTTCAAGCCAGCCTACTAACTAAATTACTAACCCGCGAGGACCCGCCACGATATCGATAGCTGAGATGACATATACTGAAAGGAACAATGTATGGGCTCTAAGGAGGCACAGCATATACTATGATATGTATTGGTAGATTAGTGATAGTTGCCCTTTCGGTTTAGCTGTCGGGCGTTAGAAAATTGTATGTGTGTGAGGAGCTCAAGTACTCACAGAGATCAAGATACGACGTAGCGTAGCAGGTAAAGGAAATAGTAGCGTTCGACGAAAGTAATAGCTTGAGGAGAATAAGAAGGAAGCTAAGACAGAAGGCTAGATACATAGGCGTAGGCGTGGATGCCTAGATGGGTGCCATAGGCATAAGGCATCCACGAATGGTAACAACACCAGTTCGTTACATTTCCCTGCTGTCCCTGCTTTGGTATGGACTATAGAGTTCGGATGATGCAAAATAGCACCGCAGTGCTTTTACATCACCTTAAGTTACCCAGTAACAAAATGGGAAACCTGTTCGAAATCAGCCTATATACCTGCTCGCTGACCCTTTCGATCCCAGATAGTAGATTGATGCTCAGAGTGCCCGCTCTGTGTCTGAATCCACCAATCGACAAATTGCTCTTTATTTATATCTTCGCATATGACGTAGGTTTGCGCTGGATCTGTAGAGCGCTTAAGAGATAGAGGGATAGTCAGAGGCGGAGGAAGGGGAGTTATTTGGCTTGCAGAGTGCTCGGTCGCGATACTTTCGGAAAAAAAAAAGGACGAATTATCAAACTTGCCACTATCCGAAAGGGGTAGATCTCTAATTGTTGAGATATAATAAGAGTTAAGTGAGAGTCTTTTGGGTTTGATACTTGAAATTTTAAAGCTACAAAGTACAGGCCAGGATAATTGCAGATTTGTTTCAATAGAAGCCCGAAAATAATACGAAGCCACGCAGTAGAGGGCTCGGGCACCATTTCGAGAAATGTACACCAGGACACTTTTCTGTCTAAGATGTTGTTTAGGGTGGGTCGAGATCGCCTTGAGACTTATGTCTTGATGTTTTTATTTTTGTTTTTACTTTTTGATATATATTTGTCCTGGGGGATTTAGAAAGAAAATGCTCTTGGAAAACGCCAAAATGCCAGTGAAATTGTTGCCACGTATCGACAATTATCGCAATCTGAATATGCTTCCATATTGCTTCTGAATTGAATAACATAAAAATCCAAGATATTTGTTGAGTCTATATTGCTGGAGGGTTATTAAAGAATATTTCTTTCGTCGATTAGTGAAACGCGTCGGGCCACTGATATCGAAATTGCACCGGATCATGAATTAAGAAGACGAATTACACTAGACTTAGTCGGAGCTCACCTGTTGTTTAGATCGAGGTGGCGAAAATTACTGAGTCAGTCCTCTCAAGTTTTTTGCTTGCTAAATCAGGCCATGTCAACATCAAATACAAACTAGCAGTATCTCGCGCTCCATTGATTTTTTCTTCTTCTGGAAAAGTTTCGGAGTACGGCTCAGCAACGGCTATAGCGAGTAATTGGCGCTACAAAAGACGAGACGAAATTCCTTGAAGTTTCTCTTGTCCCTTCTAGACCCACACCACTCAACTTCCCCGTTGGGCGCTGAGATGGTCCCCCAGTTCTAGGTGGGTGGAAGTGTCGGGACTTCCTGGAGTGATGGTCATGGAGGGCGAGCCCTATCATGAGCCGACTCTTCGGGAGGCTTTGAAAGACGTCTCGCTGGTTTTTGTCAACACAAACGGCTTGGTCATTGGTGAAAAAGCCGAGATATATTGGGGAATTCGCCTTTACGAGCTCGCTCGGGAGTTCCGTGTGAAGCATTTTGTCTACGCCGGTCTAGAGTATGCCTCGAAGCTTGGAAATTTCGACGCTAACTATCGGACAAGCATTCTCGACGGTAAAGGGAAAGTGGTCGATTATATCTCTCGCCAACCTACCGCTCCGACGGGATGGTCTATTCTGACATCGTGCCCATATGTTGAAGGCCTTTCTGAATTTCTCCGGCCTTTTCCGGATCCCTCGGATCCGGAAACCATGGTCTTTGCAGCGCCTCTAGGAAACGGAAAGTGTCCACTCATTCATCTTGAAGACTACGGTCTATATGCACGATGGCTGTTCGACAACCCCACAAGAAGTAATGGTCTTGAATTGCATGTGGGCACCGAAGATATTGCGTGGAAAGATCTCGCAGCGGTCTTTACAGCGGTAACGGGTACAGGTGCAGTCTATCGGGATTTCACTTTGGATGAATACTTCCAGCTGGGCATGTGGCCGAATCCAGAGGCTCTACTGGGTGTTACCGGCGGTCCTGACGACTCTTCCTGCATGACTATTCGGAAGAACTATTCTGGGTTTTGGAATACTTGGAAAGATGATCTGACGAAGAGAGATTATCAGCTGTTGGACGAAATCCTGCCAACAAGAGTGAAGAGTGTTAAAGAATGGATGGAAAAGATTGGCTATAGAGGGAACTATGCATCTGTTCTGAAAGATCGCCGTGACGCGGCTAGAAAGTGAAGTCACTGCGACGGCCTCCTTTTTACTAAGAGATGGCGATTTACATGATTTGATTGGAGGCAACTCTCGCGCAAATGGACGCCTCCTTATTCCTTCTGTAATATGGCCCCGCAAACCTTTATTAGAAATAATTTCTTAGCTGCAAACTTGAAAAGCTCAACAAGCCTAAAAGTGTTTAAATCGCTTGGAAGATACAAAAAAATGCTACGCTTTCGGCATGAGGCCTAACGTCCTCATTTACCAACTAAGTTCCACCTATTGTAGAGCCCAATATCTCAAAGCATTGACTCTGATCAACACCCGCCTATTATTCACATTCTGTTTTGTATTCGAAACCGGTACTCTGGTTTCCTTTTCTCGGTATCTTCCTGAACAATAAAAAGGCCCTCTTTGAATTTTCCTATGATCGGGAGCAAAGCGCATATCTTAACATTCACCCTGGTGGCATCAGACAAAACAACCAAACAAATAGCAGCAAGTTACAGCGCTACAAGATCATTCGTCTTGCAGTGCGAGGCCGCTGGAAGACCAGTACCTGGCATTTTTGGGGAATTATACCGCCGCGGACTGGTATCACGCGGATGCCGGATATGATCTTGCAAGGAAGTGTGTACGGGCCTAAATTCAATAGATCTCGTGCACACAGTAGTATTTTAACGGGGGGGTTCTACCCAGAATTTACACAGCAAAGATAAGATGCCAAACTAATCTAGTAACAGTAAATCTGATCATAGATTGTAATGAATTTTTCGTTATGGGCTGTACTAAGATAGAAGATATGTAAAGATATGAGGGGTCTTTGAGGACTTGATAAGGTGTGGCAAAAGTGATGAGAAGAGGATCAGAGCTAAAATGACCTTACTTGTACAGCCATTGTTTCATTGGCAAGTACCCTTGCCGGTGCCCCTTCGCCCAAAGCAGTGGTATGGGACCACGGTTTCAATTCGATCTCTCTGTGGAGTCCAGCTGCAAAGCAGCGGCTCCATTTCTGTCGAGGATGATGATTCGTAGTTTCTTCGATTGTAAAGGGATTGACGACTTCAGCATAGCGACAAGTGTTGTCTATTTTAGTCAAAGTAGCAAAGCCCTAAAGAGGATCTTGCCGATATTCAACGAACCAATAGTGGCTAGCTGGAGCGATTGACCTACGGCCGTGATATTCCCAGTATTCCGGAAATCTTGGTGTCGAATAATAGCTTCCGTGATATTCTCAGCTAAATTCTGGGGCACAGCAGCTTCCGTTGACGATGAGGGTGGGGTGTCTCGCAGAATACGCAAAGCCAAGAAGCCACCGTAAAACTCGAAACTTATCCTAGTTTTCGTCATGTTCTCTTCCGTAGACCCGATGTCGTGGAGGCTGACAGACTGAGACAAGAGTAATCTAGCGTTATCCATTTGATCGGCTGGCGAACCCAATTTTGGCCCTGGGGAAAGATGGTAGGGCGTACTTTAAAGGATCAACGCATACCGCGAAATCTGGTAACGATTTAATAACCCTTTATATAGATGTTGTTCAAAAATGCCAACATAGCCTCTCCGAAATGCCGCCACTTAGATCATCCGAATGTCAAGGGTCTCTTTTGGTTGGCTTTTTCACTAATCCGAACATCTGAGAAACATGAGCAGGCTCTATTCATTCGTATGGACTTTCTGACACCCCTCCCCTTCGCCTCGCTTCCCTTATTCGCCACTGGTTTCATAGTCGGCGCGGCTGCTTGTAAATTTCCTTTCTTTTCAATGTTGTCTCCAGGATGTCGAAGTTATTTTATGCATGGTATTTGATGGAGCTGAGCAAACCCACGGCGACTCCAATCCGTGTCGACTTTTGGCAAGGAATCATGATCATGAATTCATGTACACATTCGGCCGGCATTCGGTACGTCATGCTTGGGGGATTTTGATTCCTGGGATAAGACTATTATTTCAATCAAGCTGAATGAGCTTGCTTCTGATTCAATGCCTCATCGAATCAAAATAGCTCATCTCAGACCTTCTTAATTCGCAAGAGGCTGGGGCTTTACAGGGTGGAAAGAGTACGATATTCTTCCTGCTGGTAGGAAAAAGAGCGCTACGAAAGCACCATTTCTCACTTGCAAAGAATTGTGTTCGCGGTCCCGGCGACGTCCATCCATCACTCTGTCAGCTTGATATGCCCTTTAGCTCGGATCCAGGGGTGATCTGAATAACGCAGTTGAACTCGCCGTAAGGATGCTTGTGATATCGGTCTGAATGCTCCTCGTTACTGTCCGTGTATAAAGTTGTGATGCTGAAACAGTGAGTTTGGTTGCTTGGTCAACATAACCTGCTTCGGCGATATCGGGGGCCATCAACTTCGCCCACAGCTACCCAGTCATGATTGTCCACAAGACCTTTCCAAATGAGTGAAGCGAATCTCTCATAGTACTCGTTGCCGGGGCCATATTGAGCATTCAATCATTCTTCAAAGTCTTTCCCAGGGGTGCTAGAATATGTAACACCAAGACTCATCAGCATATTGGGCCAAAACCAAAAGGAGAATACAGAAGTAGGCAAGCAGGCTTGGAGACAACTTTACGTTCTACTGACAGAGTTTTAACCTCGGCGAAGATTAAACAGGCAGTCTCAATGAGCGCAGCCTTGTTGGGGTATTGCGATATTCTGCAAGGCCAAATGACATCTTGCTAATGGTGCAGTAATCGATGAATTTTTTGTAGTAGCAGCCGGCATTCATTTTCAACTTCAGATCCTGGCGGTGACAAAAGACTTTTCTCGAGTACCAAGAAAGATTTCGTGATAACGGGACAAACCGAAGTGATTGCGTACCTACATTTGCTAAGAGTGCGTCCGAAGTCAACGTAATGAAATCGCAAAGGCCGTGATGGTATATAGCGGCCTCTGACCGTTCTTTCTGCCTCCTTGTGTCTTTCATAAGTGTTGCAGAGACTCAAGTATCAGAGACCATATTGCATGCACCAAATAATGCAAAATTTTTCTTGATTAGATAGTGCTATCTTTTTGAAAGGTCAAGTCGCGATAAGTCTTCAAGCACATACTTCATAGCGCCGGCTTCTCGCCACAAATAATAGCTCTGGTAAGGTCGGGTGTCTTTACCTCATAACTGAAAAACGCGTTTCACTAGCATGCACTAGGATGTACGAGCATGAAGTTATACCGCTTCGAAACCAATTACAATAAATTACTGTCAGAGACGGATTCGGACTTTCGGAGCGACAATGGTTATATTTCGATAGCAACTGGAGCTTTCCCTCCGTGTAGGGTGACTCCAATATCGCAGATCTTACCGCAGCTTTGCAATTGGTAAAGAGTTGACGTGTGGGTCTAGATGCCCCAGTCTTGATGCCCCACTCGAGACAACTTCCTTAAAGGGTGATCTTGCGGAATGCAAAAACATTCAATCGATGAACCTTTTTGCATGTCACTTGGACATCCTTTGGGAGGACGTCACGGTAACAGTACTCTTCTGAGACGGTTTGCCCATAGGTAACGTAAAAGAAGAATCGCCAGAACAATCATTACTCGCCAAAAGGGGAAGTTGTTTCAGGTGGGTCTCATCGATGCGAATAGTTCCTACATGGCAACGATCTGAACAGCCAAAAAATTACCTTGAAAAAATGGAAGTCACATGGTGCGCTTTTCATCTAATTTGGGCATTTGTCAGCAACCTAATCTATCCTGGATTGAAACTTTCTAAAAGCATATCTTGAGGAAAGGAAGAGAAACGGCTCCATATCTGTAGTAAAACGGTATGGGGGCCTTTCTGCCTAAGGCGGTGTCCGCCCTCACAATCGCATCTCATCACCGTGATCTATAGTTACGGCCGTAGCACATGGTTTGAAGGTGGGCTCTGGCCCGTTACAGGACCCTTCTTCTCATCCTGACGGTGGTCATAGCGACATCACCATCCGTTCGACCATGACTCGATTCGTGCGTGAGATAGACCCGAAACGCCCTTCATACCTGTTAAGTACCTCACATTCCTCAATAGCATCTAACACTTCCTGCGTAGTTTCCACATAACCTACCTATATTACTAATAGTCCATTCCTAAAGCACCTCCCTCCGTTCGTACCTTATAGTCCAGTAGCTCCTTAACGATATTCCAATTCGCCGTCGACTATTAGGGGAGGAGGCTACGTCTCGTCCACGATTTACGAAAGCAACGGACCCGTGGTAGCAGGTCGTATAAGATCCACATAAAACACAAGAGTACCGTCTTGATTGGGTAATAATAAGCAGCGGCCTACTCAAACGGTAAATCGCTCCCAGTGAAGGGCTGAAGCCGATTAGATTTAGCCTAACTAGGTCACGAACTGTTTACAAAAAGCTTGGAGAAGAGAAGGAGTGGAACAAGCGAAACAGTAATGGGAAGAGCGGTCAAGGGCGGCGGCAGAAGAGGAGCATGCGAAGCGAGGCCATATCGTAAAAAACAGCTCTAACCCATGTACCTCAGGATTCTCAGATGTCTCAAGAAGTATGCATAGCCTGCCCCTTAGCAGAGTCCATTGCAGCCTCCAGTTGATAAAACGTAGTTGATGGTAAGTTCGCCGTGGTCATTGATGTTGTTGTCACCACTGTTGAAAAAGACAGGGACCGAGCCACAACGGGTGCAGCCGTGATTCACAAGGTCCTGCACGAGCTCCGGGATCAAGCTTCCCTGGATACCGCCTGTACCCTGGAGGAATGCACAGAGTCCATCACCAGCTCCTGCCTTCCAACAAGCAATTCGTTGCCCATTGAAATACGTTCGATTGGGGTCAATCTTCTGCACGGATGCAAGGATGTCGGTCGACCGTCCATCTACATTTCCACACTGAGAGCTGCCTTGGCAGTTGATACCCAAAGCGGAAACGCTAAGAGCGAGAGCAGGAATCAAGCCGAGAGAATAACGCATTCTGCTCTAGTAATTTAGACTTTATCTCACGCGATGTGTCTGGATTTTTTACACTATACCTTAATTCTGTTTGAGGACGCTCAAGACGGAGTTGCGGTAGAGATGGTACCTGTAACCTATGATATCTTAGGATTTAAAAAAAAGATGAATTCTGGAGACATGAGGAAGGGACATTCTCAACATTATATAGGACACCTCGGCGATAAGTCCGTGGGTTCCACTTATCTACTTTTGCCCGTATTTCCTATATCGGAAAATAAGCAAAGTCTACCTTAGACTAAAACAAGGCAAAGCTCAGTGCTGTCGATGGGATTCTTCACCTAGACCAGTAATACTACTCATCACCAACACCGCCCTCAGTTGCGCTAGTAGCCGCCCCTTTACGCCCTCTTTCGACATGAATTATCTACTAAGATAGAATTACAGTGAACTCCTACTTCCGCATTATCCACCCTGCAGTATAATTTACGAGTCTAAGATAGTCGTGCTACCAACGGTAGAACGGTAGAATAACTTAAGCTATATGAGATGATCGCCAAAAATCACCTCTCCTTTAGGGAGTCAAAACGCCCGAAGATGTTATTTGCTTACCGAAGAACTAACTACCGGACTCATGCGGAAGTGCAAATGCGAATTCATATCGACTATCTAATGTCGTTAACGTGTTTAACCAACTAGCTAGCCAACCTAACGCCACTAACACTAGTTCGGATGGAGAATACCACCGCCAGGATTGCACTTTGCCTTTTTGAGTAGTTGCAAGAGAGTGCCACCGCTTACACGAGCGGTCGTAGCTCTATTACTAGTGTGGGTGAAGACCGCCAGCACGGAGCTTCACCTTGTTTTAGTAGTTGCAAGAGAGTGCATGAGTAACCAGTTTTCCTTTATTTGCGCACTCCTAACGACAGTTTCGATCAATATTAATTTTACAACCACAGCAATATCACAGATTCCTCAAGGCAAAATATGTAATATTACTTCTATTGATCAATTAGCAAACAGGCTGATTTCTCAATCTCTCATAGAGAAAAGAGGGATTTATTAGTTCGACCCACAGAGGTGACCGGAACATATATAAATAACAGTAATTTATCAAGGCTAATCAGCAATTTTATGCGTCTTGACATGGCTTAATTAGGATATTGATGCTAAAACGGGCTCTTGGCGGGTAACCCGCGGGTACCCACGGGTATACGGGTATGGGTTTGGGGTCTCAACTATGAACCCGACCCAAAGGGAGGTCTAGCCACAGATTACACGAGTGGCCGTAGCTCGATTACTGGTATAGGTGGAGAATCCCATCGACAGCACTGAGCTTTGCCTTGTTTTAGTCTAAGGTAGACTTTGCTTATTTTCCGATATAGGAAATACGGGCAAAAGTAGATAAGTGGAACCCACGGACTTATCGCCGAGGTGTCCTATATAATGTTGAGAATGTCCCTTCCTCATGTCTCCAGAATTCATCTTTTTTTTAAATCCTAAGATATCATAGGTTACAGGTACCATCTCTACCGCAACTCCGTCTTGAGCGTCCTCAAACAGAATTAAGGTATAGTGTAAAAAATCCAGACACATCGCGTGAGATAAAGTCTAAATTACTAGAGCAGAATGCGTTATTCTCTCGGCTTGATTCCTGCTCTCGCTCTTAGCGTTTCCGCTTTGGGTATCAACTGCCAAGGCAGCTCTCAGTGTTCTGATACAGGCGGACGGTCGACCGACATCCTTGCATCCGTGCAGAAGATTGACCCCAATCGAACGTATTTCAATGAGCAACGAATTGCTTGTTGGGAGTCTGAAAATCATACTGGACTCTGTGCATTCCTCCAGGGTACAGGCGGTATCCAGGGAAGCTTGATCCCGGAGCTCGTGCAGGACCTTGTGAATCACGGCTGCACCCGTTGTGGCTCGGTCCCTGTCTTTTTCAACAGTGGTGACAACAACATCAATGACCACGGCGAACTTACCATCAACTACGTTTCATCAACTGGAGGCTGCAATGGACTCTGCTAAGGGGCAGGCTATGTATACTTCTCCAGACATCTGAGAACTCTGAGGTGCATGGGTAAGAGCTGTTTCTTACGATATGGCATCGCTTCGCATGGTCCCCTTCTGCCGCCGCCCTTGACCGCTCTTCCCATTACTGTTTCGCTTGTTCCACTCCTTCTCTTCTCCAAGCTTTTTGTAAACAGTTCGTGACCTACTTTGGCTAAATCTAATCGGCTTCAGCCCTTCACTCATATCTGGCAAAACGTGGGTAGCAGCTGAAGCACCACAACGATTTAAGTGAAATGGATTTAGTATCATTGAGAAGTTCACATCCAGCGTACTCTAAAACAATTCCTTGATTTTTCTAATATTGAAAATTGGTGGCAGAGAAGGCGAATTACTTTCGACCAATAGAAACTCGGACGAATAGAAACTCGGACGAAAAACCCGGACGAAAGTCACGTGATGTCACGATCAATCCACCAACTAGGCCTCGCCAAAACCCGCCCGCGAAAACCCAGCCTGTTGGTTTATTAAGTGATGCTAGAGCTGTTAACGATACGATATCGGCACTGTTTTCCCATATCGTCAATCGGCATCGTCAACTTCGAAGTCTGCCGATATCGTATCGGCAATCGCGATCGACAGTTTAAGAAATTGTCGATACGATATCGGCAAATTATATTATCGTCGGCGATATATCGCCACCGGTAATTGGACAATAAGAGAATATTTCCTGGTCCTGAGACATAGAAGACCCAAATGACCCGATGGGCCAAATGAGGATGGTGGAGGGGCTGATGGTGAGAAAGAGGAGACCGGAGTTGGACGACCGGTCTGGAACTGACGGTTCCAGGTGTACAGTGTTGTTGGGGGCGTCGTGAAGTAAAGACGGAAAGCTTCGGAAGACCACCTTCCGAGAGCTTGGATGTGGTCACTTCTCAGGCCCGAATCGTGGGCGTGTTGGGCTGCCCCTTTTCTATAACTATGACCCTTAAGTCCTGTGGTATCTTCCCCAGAGCGTTTGAGCTTGGCGATAACGGCACATTGGGAGGCAGCTGAGGTGAATAGCCCGGAGGAGAGCGTAAAAAAAAGGAGCAGTTGAAGGTTGTGAATCATGGATGAGTAGCTTAGAAAGGCCCTCAACGGGGCAGGCCGCGTCGTTTGTCGCTGCAAGGACAATATTGACACCTTCGTGGTTTCGGTCGGTCTTACTTCTCGTTAAAGTGAGGAGGATGTGGTCCATGGTAGGGGAGAATCTGATATCCCCCCAGGTTAACTTAGTAGCAACGAAGATTTGCGTATTCCTTTGTTCAGCAGCTGAGTATGTCAATTCCCCGACCCGACGAAACCCGGCGAAGGCGACCCGGGCAGCCATGGCAACCGTATTTGCTGGGAGTACGTTGTCCGGACGTAGGTAGGAGCTTTCGAGAGCTTTACCAATTCCCCAGTCACCAAGAGAAACGGTGAGATCGCCTTTATCGACGACCATCTGGTGGTGGTCTAAGGCCATTTGCAGGATACACTCCTGCCACTTATATGCCCTGGCAAGGTCACAAATGCGGCGGTGTAAAAGGATCATTCCACTGATGCATAGTGAGTGCTTGGCAACGAAGAAATCACACCAGATAGCGATACAATTGCTGAAGCAGTGGGCCCACAGGGATGCCTCATTACCCCAATCCTTGATTGAAACTACCTTGCGGAGGAGATGTGGACTTTAAGTCGAAGGACTCGCCATCCGGTGCCGTGGCCTTGAACTCGGGGCTGCGAAGTTTTATGAGGTCCTTCTTTGGGCGGAAGGTGTGTTCGAAAACGGCTATAATGGCAGCACGGTCGAGACCGGGGAAGCGGGGGAGGACTGGCACAACAAGCGACGGGACCCTACCGTCGTCGACATCCTCCTCCGTGGTGAGGTCTATACGTGGGCGCTTGCGCTGCCCGTCGCCTGCAACAAGGGAAGCGGACACGGTGGACATGAATGAATCGCGTTGGGTATCAGAGAGGGAATTCCAAATATACTCCGGTGGATAGAACGAGGAGCCCAGGGTGGTCTGTCCCCCAGGAGTAGTACTGGGGACCTCGGAACTATGTCGCACCATTGCAAAATGAACTGTTGAAGAGGAAACCGCTGCGAAGAGATCCCAACTCGCCTTCGAAACGGCGATGTTCCTTTCGAAGGAGAGGATATACGAGCAATATCTGTGTGCGATTATAAGCACGGAATATTGTGGACCCGACGCAGGGGGGAGGGGCTTTCAGCAACAATCCCGAATAGAACATATCATTTACTTTTGCCACGATTGTCGATTATAGAATGCTCGGAACATCAATTTTATTTGTGGTTATCCAGTTGGTACACAGTAGGACCTGCCCACAGGTACAGTACATGTCTTGTGAACGGGCTTTTCTCCAATACACCTACCTATTGAGACATTCGATATTGCAGATCGCATGGAGGTACATGTGAGCTCACATCATACGTCTTAATTATACGAAAGGATTGGAAAACGTATGCATCGATTACTTTCGACGGTTCCTACGCGAGCATCATGCTCTCCGACCATCATTGACCATATCCGTCTATCCAGAGCTAGCAGGCTTTTTCAGGTGACGATTCTGTATACCAATCCAGTCATTCAGTAAGCCTTTTTGATATGGCAACAAAGCCATGAGAATGTCATATCCTACATATTCACAGATAGTGGAAGCCCTTATTGCTTGACTTTTACGTGACAAGAGATTGGATTTGAGAAGACACCTTGCCACAATTAGCATATCCCACGCGATGAGCATGACATCAACCCCGAAACGCATTCTACTAGTGGGAAATTGGGTTATGAGTAGAAGTAACGCGCACCCGAGAAACACCCAAGATCTGAACCAAGATGGAAGCCTTCGCTCTGCTCGACCTCTCAAGCTTCATAGCTAACTTTGCCTCAACCAATCAAGACCTTCCTCTCATTTGTTGTAACATGTTGTCGATGGGATCGCATGATGTATCAAAAAACATGTTCAGCTCTATTTCAAATTCCTTCGGATCTATCACCGCGCAAATCCAAATAAACTCCATTGAATACTCAAAGCAGGCTGGGTTTGCATTCCATGATGACACAAGCGTGTTAAAAAGGGGTCCCATAGTGGTCGATGGAAGGCAAACACAAAGGTACCTCGAGTCGTGACAATTTGCTGTCCGTTTCCCCATATTGATCATCTCGATTTCATCGGTTGGCCTTGGATCAATGACAACCGAATCTGAGATCCAATATTCGGTTGACCAATTATAGAAAAGTGGAAAGCTTTTCCCGGCCAGGTAATTTTCAAAGCGAAGCATGCTTTCCCGGAGTTTGGAAGGTCTTTTCCATTCTGGCAAGCCAAGGAGAATAATCTTCATATCCGTCAAATTTCCTGTATGGAGAACTCCGACCTGATAATCCTCCGGTTTCAGATTCGTCAAATATGCTGGAAGCTGTGTACTGAGCTTTCCATTCTCAAGAGTGGCGAAGTTGCCTGCCATGTCAGACCGGTTAGAAGGATGATCCTGTGGCATGATAGTGGAATGTAAGGTAGTATTGATGCTCTGGCCACAGAGGTTTGACTGCTCCCATTTCCAGACAAGCTCCTCAGTTTTTGAATGAAGGACAGGAAACCTGTTCACGAACACTTGCGAGGAGTGTTATTCCGCAAGGTGGGGCTTGTCTTGTTGAGGATTAGCTTTCTCGTTCGCAATCGCCGGAAATGATGCACTACATAACAATGGGTCTTTTGCGGAAGAGATTCAAGTCAGCTTTGAGTATCTATACGATAGCCTGCCATCATGATCCATTTCCTTGTAATTATTAGTACCAGAAGCGGCCAGAAGAGTAATTCACTTAGGCTGTGTAAGGGAAGACTGGCGGTTCAAAGGTCTGTATAAGGAGAGCGCACTTTTATAAAAGAAAATTAAGACAATTAGAATTGAGGTAACTAAATGGAGAGAAGAAACCCCCAAAGGAAGCCATGCGTGAATGGCCGCAATTTTTCCAAATAAAATTCTGAAATGTGGTGGCGAGGGACTGTAAGTTTAGACCATCCAGTCACCATTTGTCCAAAACTATGCCGTTGATGCTCTAACGAGTTATCACCTGTACAGAACCCGATGCTATCCATGACCGAATTCGGGCCTTTCTCAAGCCCAGTTGACAGGCTTGAATTCGAAACATTTGTAATTGTGGAAACAGGTTTTCAGTCTGCCAAAGAACAGCTTTTCGGGGTCTTTGCCAGGTTAGATAGGGTTCATTATAGCCGTGGGATGAGCAATGCTCACCCAGCTTACAATATTTACTTTTGCACAATTACTCTGAGCACGGTAAAGCATTAATCCGTTATTATATCCCATGGTACGGTCGAACATCTTCCAATTGTTCCTCCCTGGTCGGATTAAAAGATTGGATTTGCTACTTGTCCCTGACCATCAAGTCAGTATATTTGATCCACCTCCTTAGAACATATTTTTGCCATAGGTCCAAGAGCAACATAAAAGGCATTCATATGAAATTCTTCTGGATTCTCATCCCGAGAAAGTTCCTGCCACGCTTTAACATGAAACATTTCTGAGACCACGACACGATCAGGCTTTGATCGCATAACTTCAGGGATTCATTTGAAATCCTCTTCTAGATCTTGGATCAGATGCTTGTTGTAAAGCACATTTGCAGAGGTAGTGGCCAATTGATAAATGGTACAGCTGGCGGAAAGCTCGATCCTCAAATCGACCAGAGAGATTGTTGGAAGAAGGAGGGGCCTTATGATGGAATGCCTGTGTGTAATAATTCCCATCTCTGCGCTGTTGCTGACATTTATCCTTTGGGGCTTCACTGAAGCAACCCGGACTTCTTCGTTCTGGAATGCCTTTTGAAGGTCCAGCAAGACTGCCTGCAGCTATCCCATTGAGAGGTCGGAGGAGAATATCGGGGACCTTCTTAATTGTACCAGCACGGTAGAGAACATTAACCCGTCACGTAACCAGTTCTTCTTCGACTCGTAGCCCCGTATGTGACTAGCACCAATGCCCATGAAAGCGTAGCAGAGGAGAGCTATGCTGGCTCCTACCTCAAACAATCCGCAGGGGAACCAAGGCTGTCTAAAGCATGTCCGAAGAAGGCTAGACTCTTGCGATGCATATTTCCCGAGGAAGAACAGAGTATATATGATCTGAATTTCCAAGTATTCACATGACATTTCATGCAAAGCCCTGCGATTCGGTCAAAGCGTCGCGGATATCAGTGGACCGGGACTGCGACAGACTATATTGCAGGAAGAAGCTTTTTTCCCAGTCCTGGACTCTGCGGTAGATGATGGCCCCTAAGGCACCTGCACTCTCAGGAATCATTGCAGTGACGAATAGGTAGCTTAGTACTAGCAAGAGCTGATGCAGGGTGTGGGCTTTATCGGCCGAGGAAGTGCCAGATACCGGAATTCGGGCACAAAGCCGAGGCGGTAAAGGAACCTGGCCTGCCGTATTTGCATGGATTTATGTTCCCAAACTGGAATGGAAAACTTTAGACACCACACGTGCCTCGATCATCATTCCAGTAGGCGAGAGAGCTCCCAGTACAACTTGGAGACGGTGCAGACCTATTCGGTGGATGCTAATATAATTGAATACAGCAAAACCGTGTGAAGGATAGCCTGGATGAAACTGTAGACAAGACGTCAAGCTACCTCTCAGTCCATCTCTGGGACATGGATTGTCTTCGTCAACGAGAGATATGTTCACAGCAAATGCTTGCTTTTGTGTCTCAGTAAGATCATATGAACTACCCAGAACCACACTCACACAAACAGAGAAAGTATCACCCTGTTGGATTGTGGTGGGTGGCTCCAGTGTGAACACCATGTTTGTTTCGTTTCCAGAAAAGCAGCCTGAATGTTCACTACACCATGGCATTGTTTTTGCCGTTCTGGTCTCCACCTGAAAGTTGCTCAAGAAATAAAAGAATAAAATAAAACGTGTAGGCTCCTCTAGAAAGCAAAGTACAAGTTATTGAGCCTTGCATGGAACATTGGCAGTAATATCTGTGATTTCCGGCCCCTTAATTTGCTCATCAGGACCGTTAAGTGATAAGAGAACGAACAGGACCCATATAGCATGACCGGCCTCTTTCTCCTTTTATACATATACTACGTGATGAACCGTCATGTATATGAAGAGACATAGTATGTGATGTCGAATGCGAGTTGCATAATATTACACCTCCTCGCATGAACTCGGACTCAAAAAGACGAAGGGGCTTGGAATGGCTAAATCCAGGCATGGCGAAGAGAAACTCTTTGGTCTGGATCGTATATCTATGCAATGAAAAATGTACGAATATGCGGGGAGCAAAGAGAAGGCTACCCAGGTTAAGAAAGCCTGGAACCTGCTATACCCCTGGAGATCCACACATGGACCAACCAGCAGTAGTTTGAGATTTGGCGTATCCGGTTTTTGAAATGAACAGAGCCCACTTCAGAGTCACCAGAGACTGCGGAAGTGCCTTCCACAAATGACAGACTCCTGGTAGCTTTGCTGACCGGATTGCCCCGTTTTAAGTTTGCCGTAACCGCATTGGGTGGGGCTTAGTGTTATCACTACGAACGCCCGGCCCCACTACCCACTGATCGGTGAGCTATGCTTTTTGTGATTCTTTCCAGCCAATCATTTGCAAACTTGACATGGACTAGCTGAGTTCCTTTCTCTTGGCATGCAGCATAAAAGCCCCGCAGAACACTCGTAGTGACAAGCAAGGCAGGTTCCTGAACGCAGTTATCGCACTGAAAGTATCACATAGCCGTCCAGATCCCCATCGAGGTATACGGATCTTATAAATCACCGAGAACAATAACATGAGCTATGGGTGGCGTAATTGTTCTACTAATGATGGCTACAGTCTCCTTAGGTTATGACTTCCTATATGCTCGATTGAGTTTTTTCTATTTAATTTTGGGACATGTTCAGTACTAGCCAGTACATCAATTCCTTATCCTGACAATAGTTTCCCAAGAGAAGTGCTGCCCAGTCCAACTCTTGTCATGTGGGGTGTTTTCCGCTTTTTTAATGAAAACGCGGTTGTCTCAACCT